ATCACTGAGGATAATACACATTCAACCTGACTGTCAAACTGCATTACATTTAAATAGATTTCATCATCGCGAAAAACTTTCTTCACACACATTTAAATGACATATATATGTAGTTTAACATAATTGTCCTTAAATGTGTATCAAATAATAAATAACATATTTATTTTGAAATAAATCATGGTATTTGTGAGCTTTATCACACTGACATAAGAGTACAAATCAGTTAAACATTCCTAATGTGGGAAACTGTTTACCTATAAGGTAATGCAACACCGTATTAAGTATCCATAAGACTTTGAACTAAGGAGCTTTAACCAGTTAAAATGTGTCTGTTTCCTTTGATCCATTTATCCCCTTTAAATAACAAACTAATGCACAGAAAGAAAAAAATACCATGTGCACCAATAAACCCAATTTTTATCCACAACTTAACATCTGTGTGGGCAAAGAGTACATGAAGGTACTATTCCAGCTGACTTCATTAGGAACCGTTCGACGGTATCTGTGGTGAAGTGGATCATTATGTTGGTGCATGGAGGTACAATCTTGCAGCTAATCTTGCAGTGATTTATGTGGCAGGCAGACTGAGGACTTACTGAACCTTAAAACACAGCGATTACTGACACATTTAATAGGCTATGCCCACTGGTAGATTGAGACGACCTTATTGGAAATGTCAAATCAAGCAACTCATTTGCATTCATGATGTATGGCGCTGATAACAGCATCTGCCCAGGCAACACAAAGTGACACACGTATAGCCAGACAAGAAGGATCTCTGATTTCAGTCATGGATTTGCATCTGACCGTCTGGCCCTTGAGTTTGCATAGGTTCCCTCTCTGTCAGGATTGGATATGCTAAAGTTTAGCAGTTTAGCTGTATGCGACTCCAGAGCCACATGTGCCGACCCCAGTGCTAAACTATCCTGTGTTATCACTGAGTCAAAACACCCCTGTGGTTTAGGTAAAGGTCCAATCGTGTGTTCCTCCCATTATACACATATACTAGAAATGTATTTGATTCAAACTTATGTGATAGGTAGTGCATGATTATAAAGTTTAAGAAAAATAGTGGTGCATAGTTTTAACATTTTTTTGTTCATTCAACTCTGAAAAGTATTGTGTGCTTAAAAACCAACAATCCCTCCCCCGCTGTATTCAACATTTTATTGACGTCAAACCTGACAATGTTTTGTGGACTGATTGTTCAGAGACTGAACTGTTTGTCCATTCCATAAAACACATCAAGCTCTATTGAAGATTATCAATTAAATTAAGTCATTTTAACACATGAATATGCTATAATCTAAATCCTGGTGCTGCAAGGTGAGTCCTTGTGTCAGTCAAAAGTAATTTGCAGCTTCAACTGGATTTTGGTCAGAAGTTGAAATTTAACTCCCTCCATCCAAGTTCACCTCTGATCAGCTTCTATGTCCTTACTGAAGAGCAGCAAGCCCACAGCATGATGTTGCCACCTCCATGCATTGTTGGGCAGAAAGGTGGGTGCAGGATAGTGTACAGTGTTGATTTCCTTCTACATTTAGTATTTCGATCACGTCTCTGCACAGGAGTTTCTTTCCTAAGTTTCACTGATTTTATTTAAGGGTATTAGAGTAAATGGAGATGAGTACAAAAGTATGCTATCCTTTTGGATTTTTTTTGTAAAAAAAAAAAAACATTTAAAAAAGTATGTTAACTTTTGTTTTGACCTCCCAATTATGGACTATTTTGGGTAGGTCTATCATATAAAATACAAATACTTGATATTTGGAGCTGTAGCTTGACACTATGTGAACATTTTCAAAGGAGGTAATTTTTTATCCAATGCAATGTCAGTAGAGAAATGTCTGTGTGGAAATAACCACGGTGTAATCTTGGGGAAGATTTGTGTGAAATATAAATCTTTATACAGGGACATGGTAAGCAAAAATATAATATCTCAAGTAAACAAAAATATAACATGCAATTTCAATATTTGCTCAGCTTTAGGGAGATCGTGCCTAAGAATATGTTATGAGAATGATTTTCAGAATTGTAGGAGTGTGGGTAATGCACAAAGCTGCATTTCTTCAGCAACAGTAATCTTAACTAAAGATCTGCTTATTGGATAGTTGAACATTCTAGTAGAAGTAACAATAAATAAAGTCAGCTTAATTTGTGCCTTTCTGGTTTATAATTAACAGTAAAGTTAATTAATGTCTTATTTGAATAAGTGGAATATTACTTTTTTTAACTTCAAGAAATGATGAAGACAACTGTGGAAAGCTGGATCTCAGGGCAAAGAAGTGAGAGAACCAAAACTACGCAAAATAGATTAAAACAAAACAAAGTCACAGCAAGAATTCACCAACTATAACAAACACTTTAAACGCCTCCTCATATTCTTAATCATGAGAGAAATGTCTGATCATCAACCTTAACAATAAATTAAACTTGATGCAAGAAAATCCTGAAGATTTGAAATGGCAAAAAATGTACAGCAAATTAAAAAGTATGATATCCCAATTTCAGAGGGAAAATAACTTTAGAAGTGAAATATTCTTTCTAGCTCTTTGAACTAAAAATATGTAAAGGCGTTCTACATGTATTTATGCAAACCTTCATGATGAAAGATTGCTAACAGTTGCACTCAGGAGATTTAAATCTCATCTGTATGTTTTGCAAAAGTTTCAAATATACAGTGATGTTGTTAGTAGTTGGCAACTTGTTGGCACGAGTGATGGACGTATGGCAAGCTATTGTGTGATATATATTGCTATGTCTTACAGAAACTGAAATAAATGCATCAAAGGATGTTTAAAGAAATTAAATAAATACCACTACTACTACACTATTTAAATATATTTCACTTAAGGTTATTCTTTAACCTGAGTCATGCAAGACACAGCTTAGATTAAATTTCTAAAAACTGTTCAAAGATTAATTATTTTGCTGTGACGTGATAGTAATCTAATTTTACTTTGATGTGCACAATCTTTACTGTTAGAGCTTCAGAAGTAGTTTATTTGTGTGTTTATTTTTCTAATGGTATTGTGATTTTTTTCATGTCTTTTGCATGTTTTTTGACTTGTTCTGATACCTGTCTTTTTGTTCTATTACTTATTTATATTGATGAATAAGAGACCTTTTGTAATAAATTACATAATATCAGTTTGGAGGATTTATGTAGATTTTGGAGATGATCAATTTTTAATGAAAGTATTTTACTCAATGCATTAATGCCTACCCTTAAAGCTTGTGTTGGGTAACTGTCTCTGTGTTGAGCTATACTGACTGCAAGGAACAGACCAGACATCTGAATTATTAATGTCTTAAGAAATTTAAAGGAGTCATATAGTAAAGTTATAAATATAAATGTATCTACCTTTAATGAGCTGCTAAATAGTAAACAATGTTTTGTCTGTAAACACAAATGGCAAATTTCATTTTAAACGCAGTAATAATTTAGTTACTTTTGTCTTTTGTATTAAATATTTGTACATGACACTTTAAATTCATTTTCTCTGTTTTAGGTCATGGTCGTATATTACAGTCACATTTTCCTGGTACCTCAAAATAAAGGTAGAAATCATTAGTTGCTGGGGGTGCAGTTGACGTAAATTCACAGATGGCTGAACCAGATTTTAGAAAGGGCATAGATATGCAAGAACACAAGGACTATATGTACCAAAATATGAGGTTATTGTTTTGCATAGGTAAAGTCTTTTTCCAGGAATGATGTAAATAACTTTTATTTTACCATGTAAACAAGGCATGTAACACCTTGAAGTTAATGTGTTTCTAACTATCAATTTTGTCTTTCAACACAGGGTGCCACAAAATCCCAAATCCAACTTGGCAGACTGTACATGAACAGGTATCAGGAGACAGAGGCAGTCTCCTGATACTTGATTCATTTATAAAATGGCTTGATCAGGACCAATCTAAAACACCTAAAATTTAACAAAAAAATAAATAAACTGATGAAGTTTTCAGGAATCAGTAGTACAGCTCATTAAAGAAAGATTAGTGGCGAATGTCTTTCAACTTTAAAGGCCTTTAAAGACCGACCATCCATGTGTCTTTCTTTAAACTGTTCTTCAAAGCCATTATTCATCTCTTTTGTTTGATTAGTGAAAGACTACAGCTGCCCAAACATACACTATATAGGAAGTGAAAAAAAAAAAACTATACATCGGGATTGGAGTCACCACTCTTCTCACTCAGATTTTCCATGTGCATGTAAATGTGCATTTAAACTAATGTTTCTACTAAAGACCTTGCCGAAGACTTAACCCTTTTGCTCCTAGCCTCAAATGAAGATGTTACAGTGAAACTTAAATAAAATAAATAAATGATACAAAAATTATTACTTCTTACATATGTCCAGTTTGGATAACTTCAGACATTACAAATCCATTCATTTTGTTTCTAAGTTTAGTCCTTAAGAAAACTAAATGGGCATTTTTTCAGAATAATTATGAATAAATTAGTCTCAGTTAGTGAATAATTAAATCAAAGAGAATAGTTTTCAATCCAAGTTTTGCCAAAGTTAGTTGTTTGAAACTGCATGAGAAAAGGTGGATAAAACCAGCAATTTTATTATACACTTGTTAAGAATATATAACAAGTGTATTTTTGTATAAAAATGAATCATCCCACCAGTACTGCAGGATTTTTTTTGTTGTTGACCTAAAGCCAGTAGGATGTGGTGATTCAGTGCTCCACAAAGTTTAAAAACTTTAATATATTCCAGCTTTTAAAGATGAGCAGCACACATTACATTTTCAGCATGTTGTATGAGAGCAGTGGCATAATCACTGCAGGATTTGCTCATTTTTACAATAAGCTGCTGGCTTATTTAACACATTGTTCAGCATCTCCATAGAAAGGGATCATATTTATCCCTTAAAAGGCTTTTCACTTTTTGTTTTTTCAGCTCCCGAAGTTAATCTTGTTGTTTTACTTCGGACCTCAAATATCCTAATCCATCTGCTGTGATTTCTCTTCCTCTGAAACAGCTCTGCTAGACGTTTTACTGGCTGGAACTGACTGTTTGGTGGCTGGAGACTCGTGCTCCAGTGACGAAACTTGTAGTCCGCGCCTACGTACGCTGCGGCAGTGTGTGGCCGGCAACGGCAGCATGAAGCTGGGCCCCGGTGCCAGAAGCCAGTGTGCCAACGCAGTGTCCGCCCTCCTGTCCAGCCCATTACGCGGCTGCCAGTGCAAACGAGGAATGAAGAAGGAAAAGAACTGCCTCAGCATCTACTGGAGTCTTCATCAGTCCATCATTCATGGTCTGTCATTTTTGTTTTGTTTTGTTTTAGAAAGAATGTTTTAAAAAAAATAAAAGATCGAGTGACTGACCAAGTTACATGATTAATTTATGAATTCATCCTTTGGGATCTTTCAGTGACTAAATATAAACATATTTATTTTCTAAATGTTTTCTTCATCCTCTGATCATTAATTTAGGCCATCTGTTATTCTTTCAGGACTCAACCTTGTGGAGAGTTATCCCTACGAGACAGTGCAGAGGGATTATGATTATGTTCGCTTGGCATCTATTACAGCAGGTTAGCTAGCTTCCTCTTATTACCTTTCCTCCTGTTGTTTATAGCATTTCGTCCTTGAAAGATATTTTGTTGTGGGAATAAGGTACACAATCCACTCACTTCCCTGGAAAAATGCCAAAGACAAACAAAGTTGCAGTCATCTAAGAAAATGTGTAAATATTTGTATAACTTCCAAATTCAAAGTTATTTGCTTGGATTGTGAGTATTTTTGGATGCAAAGTTCCTTTATATTCCAGTCTAGAAAAAAAACATATTTATGTTTGTGTGTTACAGTGTGCTAATGGGGAATTTGCATGCTGTAACCATCAGCCTTTTAGTCATGCAGTATTTTAAATCCTGTGTTTCCTTCATAGCCTAGGGCTTTCTAAACAATAAAATCACAGAACATATTAATGAAACCAAAACAAAAACAGAGAATGTTGGACATTATATTTCTGGTAGAGACAAAGATTCCAGACAGATAAAAGTTAATTCTCATTTATTTTCTTTTACAATAATGTCTGGGACCCTCAAAGAAAGGATCCCAGACTCTTTTTGCTCTTTTTGCCAGCCCTAAAAATGCTATGATGACATGATGACACTTTTCATACAGAGCTCTTCTCAACTATTTTTGTGATGATAAATTCCTCACAAATGCTCTCACACTGAAGTCCCATGTATGTCTCAGCACTATCTGCAGGAGTCTTAGATGGCTGTGGTTTTTCTTCTGTTAATGAAAGTTTGCATGAAATTATTAAGTGAAGGAAAATATCTCAGCACAAATGATGAGTAATTTGAGTAGCTGCCACCGGTCATTCTTATTTACATAAACACAAAACTTTCTTGCTATATTGCTATTACCTTTCCACTGACTTCTTGACTTTGAGCTTGCTTTCATCCACAGACTCGGACGTTGGCATGACAACTGTGAATCGGTGCCTGGATGCAGCCAAGGCTTGCAACGTGGATGACTTGTGCCAGAAGCTGCGCACTGAATACGTCTCAGCTTGCATCAAACCTACTGCCAAATCTGGCTTGTGCAACAGGCCTAAATGCAACAAGGCCCTACGCAGGTTTTTTGACCGTGTTCCTGCCGACTACACGCATGAGCTTCTCTTCTGCCCCTGTACGGACACGGCGTGCGCGGAGCGTCGGAGGCAGACCATTGTGCCAAGCTGTTCCTATGAAAGTGGGGAAAAACCTAATTGCATTACACAGAAGAAGATGTGTGATGCAGACTATGTTTGCAGGTTAGGGCAGAGCAAAATTGGAGCATTTTATTGTTTTGCATACATTCTAGGCTGTAATAGAATTGCAATTCCCAGCTGTTTTTAGTAAGCGGTAACTGAAGAAAGAGTAATTCAATCAGTTGAATGGACGACTATTTTACCTTAAAGCTTTCTGCCACCATTCCATTAGCCACCCTAGAGAAAGACTGTCAGAATAACCTGTTAAATATTTAGTTCAGATAGAGAAGCAGATGGATCAGAGTTATTGCTCATTGCTATCTCCTGTGCAAGGCCATTATTTTTCCTCAGCCCCATTACACTCACAGAGCTTTACTAATGATCCCAGGTCTGGGGGATGAAATATATTATTCTTTCTATCACTTTCTGTCTACAGTTCAGTAGTTTCAGTCTCTTTAGCATTGCAAACAATATATCTTTCATGTCATATTAATTAAAGACAGAGTGACATAATTCATTTTAAAAAAACTGGAAAGATTCTGTATGAACTTTACCAGTTTCTGTCGTGTTCCTGCTGACTTGTACCCATGTTGTGCTTTTGCAGGTCTCGTCTGGCACAGTTTCAGTTTGACTGCGAACCCTCAAAAACATCTGCCAGTGGCTGCAAGGAGGGGAACTATGGAGCGTGTCTCCTCGCCTACACAGGGCTTATAGGTGGGTAGACATTTCAGATGTTACTCGGAGAAGGAAAACATGTGCAAAACGAAGCGATGTAAGAAATGCTGCAGGAGAAAATGGTGATGTATGAATGGAAGTGTGCACCATATGTTGTGTGAGAGATGGAAAGAGGTAAACAGATAGGAATGAGCAGAAGCTTGCTTGAAGAGGAATTAATGTACACAAAACACATTAGGAGTGAGTGGGAGACTTGATTAAAAAAAAAACTAAAACAAAACAAAAGTTTACTGTGAGCATCTCTCTAGGTGAAAATATAAATTCATTTGTTGAAAGGCCTTTTATGTAATGTTAGATGCAATCTTTTTTATAAGAAAGGAAAAGAACGACTGCCTCATTTCCCACACTGACCTAATGCATTTCAATAACTTTAAATAGTGCCCCTTAGCAGAAACACTCACTTGGCATTTTCAAACCTGCCTTGTATGTACTAAAGCAATTGGAAATCCACCTCCACCATGCTGATAAAAAACACAATCAAGACTTTAAAAGGTGGAATTAAAGTATAAAACCAGTGCACACGGTCTTAGACTTCTAATATTACAATGGTATTATCTCCTCCCAACAGAACAGGAAATGCAGTGTCCATTAATGTTTAGAAAAAAAATAAAATAAAGCAGTATGAATGCAGTGTAACAATTCTGAGAATAATGAATATTTAATAGTAATCGAACTCTGGTGCTGTCTGTCTGCAGGAAGCACCATAACTCCCAACTATGTTGACAACTCAACATCCAACGTGGCTCCATGGTGCTCCTGCTCACCAAGTGGAAGCGCGAGGGATGAATGCGATCGCTTCCTGGGATCTTTCACAGACAACAGCTGTCTCCGTGAGTCCATAGCAACTGAACACTTTTAGCATCTATCCAGAGAGCTTTGGAAACCTTTTCATTCTTCATCACAACCACATATTACACTGGGTTTATAGGGACTTTAAAGTCTTACATAAAGTAAGGCTAAACCCTGATAGTATTCAGACCTAAATTCAGTTAAAATTATTGTCACAGATGTTTTCCGTTCGATTTGACTGAGCTTGAGGTGTTTTATGAAACACAGGCAAAGATTTCCATCTGGAGATGTTCAAAGTCAGTAGAAAGTAAGACTGCAGCAGCAAAAATTGGTTCCACAAACAACTGACTCTTGAGAGCAGTGAACATATGAATGGTCGGCTTTTCAGATTTTGATCTTTTGATCTCTATTGTCTGTCATAATGTGTATTTGTAACATGACAAAATTGGAAAAAAAGATTATTAGGGTGTGAAAACATTGTAAGACTATATACTCTCATTTTGTCTATTTTGGTGAGAAATGAGACTACATATACTTTCAATAGATTAGAATATTACAGAAAAGCCTATTTATTTCTGGAACATGTATTAATTATACACACATAGATGTTTGAAAACCTTGTTAAATATGATTATGTTCCTCTTACAGCTAATGAAAATATAACATTTAATATTATATTACTACATCAGACCACTAGATCACCATATTTAATACAGAATTTTGGCCTTAGTGACTGACCCATTATAGCCATTTGATTTAAGTCATGCATCCCTGTTTTTTTTCATCACTTTCTTTCAATCTTAAACTGCTTAGTTCTGCCATGAATTGTAGAACTTTTGCACATGGTTTATTTCTGTTTTGTTCTGACTCTTGCTGTTTATTTTCTGGCCTCAGGCCTTGATGGTTAAACCCCTTTGGCTTGAACTGACTGTACCTAATTAGACACAAAAGTCGACAAAGTGAATGGCATAGGATATATTTTGGTGAAAAATGTGATAAAACAACCCTGAACTGATTTATGTATGCACCAGGTTTCTTAACTACAACTTTATGGTAATAAAATATTTGACAAGCTTCAGTTTATCCACACTCAAAAGACCTTGAATCTGAAGCTCTCCTCACAAACTTTGCTTTACAGAAACTCCATCGTAAGCTCTCTACAGTCATACTGAATGATTTACTAAGCTTTTTGTGACTGGTGGAGAGTTAGACAGACATTGTTCTATTAAGAATATTACAGAGGCAATATTATTTCAACCCTGTTGAAAATCTGCTGCTGATCATTGCATAATTAGCCCTTCAACAGTAACAGCTAAGTCAGAGAATGGGCAGACAAAAATAGCAAACTCCAGCTACAATTCAAACAGATTGTGACTGTTTTGATTAGGACAAAAACCTCCTGATTTTATTTTAATCAAATTTTACAAAGAAATAATGTAAAGCTGCCTGAAGCATTTAATTTGTTTATGGTGTATAGCTTCTGGACATACTTTATTATTATGTATGATAAGCAGCTACATAGAAACAAAAGGCAACATGTGATTTTTGTTTGTATAATATTCTTTTAAATGCATAATCGCACTGCAGAGCAAATTCGTTTTTTGAAGGAAACAGAAAAATCATATTCACTAATCAGAGTGAATCGTACAGATAAGCTGAAACAGGAAGGATTCAAATAAACTTGATGTGAAAATCAAAAAGCGTCTGTGGCTGCAAAAAGTGATAGGACGAAGTTGTTTGGATTCTGCTACGCAGATGTTTCCCAGCAGGCTTCAACAGAAGCAAAACGAGATATATTTAAATCAGGCATTTTGTGGGTTTAGGAGCATTATCAGCGTGCGTTTGCTCTCTGTTTTCCATTTATATGCCCAGTTTGTCCTCACTATTAGTATCCCCCCTTGTCTGCTTACCTTGATAATGCTACCCGAGAGTTCACAGAGTCGGTTCCTATGAATTACAAGTAAGTGACCCTGCAAATGTGAGGTCACTCCATATTTTCTCCAACCAAATGTACTGATTTTACTTTTTCATTTGAAAAAAGAAAGTACAGGAGTATCCCTGGTGATTTGAATACTTTTTAAGTTCAGTCATTGAGTTAGTTTGTTATCTTTTGTCTGTCTGAAAACTGGAAAAAGCTGGTGTTGCTCTTGATTTGAATACTTATGATTACAGTAACAAATGGGCCATTATTTTACCCTCATTTATTGAGTCAAAGACAGCTTGTCTGACTAAACCAGGGTTTCTATTTTTGCTAATCTGCAGGCTGAAAATGACTGGTATAAATGACAAGTCATTTCACTTTATGCTGCTGATTGCTGTTTAGCACTGGGAATTTAAAAAAAAAATTAAGATTATTTCCTGGCTGGTGCCTCAAAGGTATAGGAATTGGGGAAAACTCTGTCCGCAACAGTCTTTAAGTATCATCAATGTGAATGTGCAGTTGAAAGTTTTATTGCTGAAGAATCTTGTGCTCTAATGAGATGTAATTCATCTCCAAACTGAGCCACAGATGACAAGCATTCAGTGTAAAAACAACATTTTGTTCTTTTCATTTGTATCTGTTTCTGCTTAGCTGCAGAACTTTAATAGATACGTGTGATTGAATTAGGTTCAAAACAGGGGGTCTCATTTTACATGTTTAAAAGGAACAAATGTAATATGGTCTTGTATTACAACTTTGCGGGCTGCTTTTAATCTTTATATTGCAATTCAAGCCATACCTGTTCCATTAGCTCAGTTAACCTTTCGGAGTCTCAGATAGTTGATGTGCCATAAAAAAAACATTCATAATGACTAACAGCGTCCTGCAATCAAGGTCATCTTATATGTGTGCTCCTGTGATTTAACTATACAACGTTCCCATGAAGGATGGAACCATTGTTATGTCACTGAAGTAATTTGACTGCTTTCCTCATTTTATCATCAGGTGATGCAGCCTTTATTCATTCAAGTGCAGGTGACTAGGAAACCATTAACTAAAGAGCAACACATCATTGTGCAATTGTGACAAAAGAGATAAATCTCTCTCTTCAGTGTGCAACACCAAGAACTATTTTACAAAATAACTGTCTTTTTTAGTCTAGAAAAATCCAGAGTTTGCATTTCTAATTGAAAACAACTATGACTATGATGTGAGCTCAGCAGACTTGTCTTTTTTTGCTTTGTACCAAGCAATTCAGTATTCTTACAGTTTATTGTGGTTTTGGCTGTATAGCTACCTACTGAGGTGGAGTGGACCGTGATATTCTTTGTTGTGACCTTTCACTTGTTCTTGAGCTGTAACTAACAATTTTGTAGAGCATGGGGGGAAAAGACGGATCAGAAAAGGCCTGAAAAGAATTTGCGAAATAACACATAATGTCATAAGATCAAACAAACATTCATTTGACAGACAATAAAACTTTTAATTAGCATTTCATTACCTATCACAATTGAAAAACAATTTTCAAAGGATGTCATAGTTAGCAAAATAAATTATTTTAATTTAGTTATTGAACTTTTAAAGTACTTTTTTAAATTAATGGCATTTTCGGTTCTTCTGCTGTATCTCCTCAATTTTCCATCTTAGTTGCTTTAGCTTTAGACCTCTTATGACCTATTCCTTAAAGTGTAAATAATTAATGTCCTTCTTACTGACCTATGTGAGTCTTTTTTTTTCTTTGCTTGTTTTGCAATGATAAATCTTTGGGAACTCTTTTTCCGGCCTCCTGCCTGGAAAAGACAGAGAAAGAGGGATTTCAGCATTATTTAGCCAGTCCCAATGGTTTAACAGTTAATGAGGTCAATGCGACGAGGCAGATGCAGTCTATATACTTTAAGACTGAGTACTTGCTGATTTTTCCCCTTTGCTGACCGAAATTGTTTTGGCAACTAGAAGTTTTGGCAATTAAAATCAGAGAAATTTGGAGGTGAAATTACTGAATTAAACTTTCAGGGGAAGAGTAAATAAGACAATAAATCGATTAACTCTGATAATGCTTTATTATATTCTGTTTCAGAAAATGCTTTAAAAATGTTTGGAAGAGAATCAGAGGAACAAACTTCTCTGAGCACACCGAGCCACAGTGGAGGAGACAGATGGAGCAGCACTTCCCAACCACAAACCACTGGAACTATGGGAAACATTCTGGAACCTATAATACCTACACAGGTGTGCACACACATTCTGTCATATTCACCACAGCAGCACTTCACTGTGTCATGACCAAAATCTAGGATTAATACAAATTAATTCTAGATTTTGATCTAGAAATTACAATTCTAGACAAAGCATACACCTACTTCAACAAACGTAATACCTGTAGTGCATTTACATAAATTTGTTTTCATCCTGGCTAATACAGCAAAGATGTTGTTAGGCATTGCTGTACGATAAATTATTGCTGCTAAGTTATCTGTTGATCAAAGTATAAATTTCATCTCTGAATATCCTCAAGATATTCTTGGAAAAAAAAATTGCTGACCTGTGTTTTTTAGGTTTACAGATGTAATACTTTCAGCACCCAAAGTTGCACAGATAACCCCAACTGTGTGTATAAGCTAGTGTTTATAGTACTTCAAATTACTTCCAATACTCAAAATCAAACCATCACCATTAACAACATTATTGGTGACAAGGTAATATGCAATAGTAGGTGCTAGCAATATTTTTAGAAAAAAAAAAATGAAGGTACAATTTTAGTTTAAAAGCATTAAAATCATAATAAATCACAAATAATAAAATGGTTTTTAAAATAACCTCCATTTGTTTTGAAATACTCTATATTGTAATATTCATTTGCAGGTTAGACAAGTCTATGAACTGTATTTTATGCTTCTATGCTTTTTTAAAAAAAACTAAGAAAATGCTAAAAATTAAATTCTGTCAAATGAAAAAAATTATAAATCTTAAATCTTTGACTAACTTTAAAATAATTTCTCTTAAATTACATAGTTTACCTCTGGTCAGTGTGTGTTTGTTCACTTGATCAAATGCAGTCTATACTCATTAAAAACTAGGAAACAGTCCTTTACTTAATATTGATTGGAGACTCAGGAGCAGATGGCAACGATAGCATCACTGGTGACGGTTTTCCTGTTGCATAACACAGTACTAAAAATGTTTCCACACAAAACACTTGAAAGAAAATGTGAAATTTTAAGAAAAAAAAATAGCTGAACCAAAATGACTCAGTGAATATCTTATTTACTCTTCATAATCTCATGAGCTTATGGAACCTTTATATGATTATCTAATAAACTATTAAGCAAAACATAGTAGGTAGTTGTAGGACTCTGTTTCAATACAGAAAAAGAATAACGTATAAATTAATGACTTCTGGATGGTAAATGAACAAAAGCACACTTCTCTTTTCCAGCAGCCATTGTACTGTTAATACAGCAGTAAAACCAGCTGACCAAATGTCGTGGCGGTCTGATTAGGTTTCTAGTTGACGGGTTGAGCTTTGCTGGGGTAGCTAAGTAACCAGCTGGGCTTCCCAGAGGCTTTTGTTCCTGCTGATTTGTGACGTTACATCCCAGAGGTTTTTGAAACCAGTCATTTTTCCAAAAATTGGCTGAGTAGTTTTGAAGTACTTGTACTTGTTTTTAGAAGCAGCAAAGACCCAAATGGAAGTACAAAATCATGCAAAATGTGAATTTTGTATAATTTGTCCCCTTCAACATTATACTATATTTACATTTTTCTCCATTTCAGGCTCTGGGAAATGAACTACTGGTGGGCCATGACACTCTTCCCTCCAATAGTCTCCCAAATTTGGCCCCACGTCTCAACCAAATGCTTCAGGCTGCCTTCAGCATTCTGTTGTTGCTCCTCCATTGCCTCTACGGACATTAAACGCTGCAGGGAAACTCACTGAGGACCCTTTAAGCAGATGGAAGAAACAGAAGAAAACTGACATGGACTATTATTCCTTCTTCTAAACATGAACAGTGGCACAGTTTTCTTCTTAATTTCTGTGTCAAAACAGTCTGCCTCCACACATGTGGGCAACCTTCTGCAGTCAGGCACCAGTGTGTACATTTGTACATTGTGTTTAAGCAAGCTGAAATGAAATTAAAATACAATTTCATGGACTAACCCAGCTGTGTAACAATGCTACATATAACACAGATATGTGTGATAATGTACCAAGTGATTAAATATATACCTGTAAAAATATTGTTTTTTGAAATGAAAAGGGAAATATCTGAAGAAAACCAGTGATCTTTGTGTCTGCTTTAACTGTCCTGGAAAAGATGGAGTTTTCCCACTCTCTTTAGTTGGCTCAATAAGGAGCTTTGTTTCTTCACAATGCTGGAGTAGAAGTAAAATAGATTTTGTTTACACATCCTGAACTAAAGCACAGACTTCAAGTCCAGAAAGATCTACAAAAGATGCCTCCAGCTGAAGTGCATAAACAACTCTGGCATAGTTATTGCCATCTCTGTCAAGACTGTAGAGCTTAGTAACAGGACTTTCCATCAAGCCTGTTGTGCTTTTGCGATAACACCTCTATTTATAGAATATATAGGTCTGTGGTCTTTATCTGCAAAGACATGTTGTTGGACTTGAAGGGAAATAACCAGAAAAGCTGTAGGTCTACCTGTAGCTGCTGTGCTTTGTGTTTGTGACTGTAATACCCTTTTATTTCTCATTGTGTTAGTGAACATTGCTATAAGCTGCACACTGTTTTTTTTTTTCTGCCAAAGAAGAAAGTGAACAAATTTGACATATTTAGTTTTCACCAACACCAGAATGGAGCCTATTAGATATCTGACAGTAAAGGATGATTATGGGTTTTGTGTTCGGGGACCTGCAGTGGATTCTGAACAGAGGCAGAGTTGTATTAAATAAAAGTTCTCAGATACTTACAGACACCTGTTTTGGTTATTTTAAGTTACTTTTGTATAATAGCAACGGGGACAATATTCTAACACACTATTTATTTAATAATTTATTCCGTGTATTCTCCTTGCAAAAAAGATAATGCCCTGGCTCCTGAATGAGCAAATGTTTTTTTTTGTTTTTTTTGCTTGCTTGGGTCAAGATAGGTAGGACAAACGAAAACAAAATTTATTGAGAACGATTGTTCTGAATTTTAAAATACATTTTCGTCTACCACTTTACTATTGAACTCTGTTATGATCTGCTTCTTAAAAGTTTTTGGTTAGACAAATAGGTATTGTTTTGTCCTCTTATAACCTTATAAAAAAGGAAAGATTCAAGGAACAATGTGCAGCAATAACACTTCATAACACAAATTTATGTAGAATCTTTCAAAAATTCATCCACAAACATTTTATGCCATTATTTTTCTTTGTAGAATTTATATAAAACTAACTTATAAAAATTTCAGTTTAATTAAAAGGGGTGCATTCCATTAAAATAATACATTGCTGTATCAATCATGTTATTAATTGTTGATAATAAAAAACTAAACATACAATAGTAAAAAGTTGGAAAAAACAAAAACTTTATTGGGGAGTAATTTTTTTCCACGTGGCTCTAAAATAACTAGAAAAGTCATAAGTAACTGAAATCTGGATAAAATGAAAGTTTTTTTGTTGTTGGCAGTAAGTGAAGCTTAACTTGAAATAACTTATCAGCTTAATAGACTGAGATGGGGGGACAAAAGAACAAGCCATATTGAGTTGAGCATATTGATGTTTTTCCTCTTAGATAAAGAGAGAAAAAAAATGCATTTCAAGAGCCATAAATTAACAGCATACACCAATAAAGTTTTAATAGATTGTTATTCTCTTCTAAATGCTTCACCTCCTCACAGCCATTCAGAAAATTTTATTTTTTATTAGATTAAATTTCTAAGAACAGGGGGTTGACCAAAAAGCAACAAAGCCTAATTCCCTAGCCAAGCATATTATTCCACCTCAATGCAACAATTCAAGTTTAAAATCTGAACTTCCTCAATGTTCATTAAGATATATATCTAAATACATGTTTAAAATGAATGGAAGATGCCTGTTACTAGATATTTACATGAAAGAAAATAATAAAAAAAACAATAACCATTTTTATTTCAGGCAGATTATAATGTCATTTAGGTTTGCTAAAGTTATGTCTATTTATATAATAGCAGAATAATCAAAGTTTTTCAGAGAATTCCATCCAGCCATCCTCTTTACACCTTTGTACCTAGTGGGGTCGGGGTCTGATGCAGATGCAGAGGGTACAATGGACTCCCAGAAGATCCGGAACACACATTCAGATGGAAATTTGGTGTAGAACCGGATCTGGTCATCAGAGGCACAGTAGCGACTAAAAGTGTGGCAGACAAATCCACTTTTTAAAGTCTGGCCTCCAACTCCTTGATGTAATCCAGAGCTTCATCAAGTGCACCTGTAAAACCACAAAATAAATTAGCAAAACATACGGTTAGCAATACGTTTTAATTATATATTTGAAACATTACTTCTGTGAAGATCAATACATGTGAGTCAGAGCATGTATGTATACAGCCATTGACTTAATCTCTCCACAAAATACATAACCACATAATCTCATAATTTCATTATTATGTGATAATAATAATAATAATAATATAGCAACAGTTATATTTTATTGAAATTATCTTACATGAAAAATATATACAATGTACTATCTTTATTAAACGTTTACCTGCGGGTGGATGTGTCGTGTAGTCACGGTCCGCAGTAGCATCTTCAGCCTGGTTAGCTTTCTGAGAGGACAAACTGCCGTTTCTTAGCCCTCTCGAAAGCAGACTCTCTCATTGCCGGTGCAGTGAAGTTATTCCAGGCAAACAGGGAAGGAACAGCTCCACTTCTAAGGTGGCTGGTGGTGGATCCGCCAACAAAATCCTCCGTTGTGAAGTGGCGGCTACATACAAAAGTGCTCCCCGTCTTTATGCAAAAGTTCGGACCTTCGTCTCTTCGGATCGCCTGGATCCACTGCCTCCGTTGGTCCGGGATCGTCGGGAACGCATGATATAACAGATATGGCTGTTTTCTTGCCCCACATAAACAACCAGGGACTGAACAAAACCAACTGCGCCGAGACTGAGCCATATTCCTAGCCTTTTAATGCTAACGCTATAGCCACCGGAAGTTGTCCAACCCCACATCCGCTTTATTTGTTGTTGCGGTGAGCCGCGCATGCGCACAACCGCCCCGGCCCTGTGGCGCGGTGCGGGCAACCGGAAGCTGTATCTGAAAGGGCTGTGGCACTTCCTGTTTTGGTGACTGGAATTCAAGTACTCTGAAAATGGCTCTCCTCCTCCGGTCCTTTTCATCGTCCTTACTTAATTTGCCAGCCCTTTCTTTCGCTGATGCGGAGGAAATCGCAGCGGCTAATTCAGCTGGTTCCATCCAAATTTGGGCCTGTGCCACAGGGCTCACCAATGTCTTATCAGTGCCCACCTGAAAAGTACTCTGGTAGCATCATTCTGCACCACATGGCTCCAGACTCCCCTTCTCTTCCTTTGATGCTGCATAGTCTTCCAAATATGTGCTTTGTGCCAACACTTGGTCAACTTATGCATCTTCATTCTCTGCAAGTGTCACTGGAAATGCCTTATGAAATAGAAGCCAGAACAAGAGAGCAGTCCAGATGTCCTTACGACCTGTGAAGGCTGTCCCCAGTCTCTCATTCAGTCTTGCAACATCTAAAGGATTAGGAGATTATAGAAAAGGCATTGAAAGATGAATGTTACTGAGTTTACTTAATGTAAAAAAATAATTCCTCAAGTCATCTGATCTAACTTGAGAGAGAAATATGAAAAATTTAAACACAAATCAGTACGAAATGAATGTCTTGTCATATCTATCTGTCTTTATTATCTCGTACATATTGTGATATTAAGGTATTTGGAATTCATAAATTAGAATACTTTGCATTGTGCAGATATTGTGGAAATAAATTTTGACATAAACTACGGTGTATGGACTTTACTGACTTTTCCTTTTATGTATAACAGAAACATCCTTGTTTCAACTGTAAACATGGAAATATTTTCCATTCATTGATAAAGATCAGAACCTTGCACATGGAGTATAATAAGATAATCTTTCCAATATTGCTTAGATAAGCTAGTAGCCAAAAAACTCACAATCACTACAGCTTTAGAAACTGATCCCTCGGTTTTCAAGGTTCAGCCTTGGTTAAGCTTTGCCATATAAGCAGGTTTATATAAATATGCAGTTTTAGCTCAAATACAGCCATAGACTTTGCAATTTGCTTTTGTTTTCCACTCCCGGCGGGAAGAACCTTGAGACAGCTCCCTGTGAATAAAGTCATTACCTGAGACAGTGCAATACAGGAAACCAACAAAAGATAAGCCAACCCGAAGCTCTGAACTCCTTACCCTTTCTGACATTTCCGAAATGTCATCCTCAATCAGAACTTTGGTTTAAATCTTGTACAACAATCAAAAATAAATGGCCATCATAAGTCTTTGTAAGCCATCTGTTTGATATTTGCTAAATAAAAGTAAGAAGGGATTGTAAAATCTCAGTTCAGTAAAGCTCATTACAGTCCCAAAGTCTGCAGAGAAAATCTGAAATCTTTAACTTCCTCCTTAAAATTTTAGGGACTCATCAACTCATTTTCAAAGAACATAATTCCTCTTTGGCTAATATCTGTTAGAATTAAGGGGTGCATAAAGCCAACAAAGGCAAAGTTGTTAAGATTGCCATGCCACAGACTGGTTTAAATTTGACAGCGACTTCAATTTATTTTGAAAATTGATAATTTACTCTGAAAAGCAAAATATTTTTGCTCAACCCTGCAGATCAGTGATTTCAGGTGTTTCAATCATTCTGTGTTCACATAAATATAAAATCCAGCACCAGGAAGCAGACAGCCAACCGCAAAAATTGGTGACATTTCTGGATAGAGGTACATTGGACTTCTCGTAAAGCTGAAATCCACAATCACTTTGGTGGCAAATCTTAAATATACCTAACTGACCTCCATTTTAAGGTTATATTAAAGTAAAGACTCTGAGCCAGGCTTTCTTGTCCAGCATCTGTGTCTGACCTCGCAAATGTGCATCTGTAAGAATGGCTAAAAAGTTTCATAAACACATTCCAAACCTTGAGCAGTCCCTTCCAAGACAGGTTATAGTTTTAGAGGTGAATTTTGGGCCAATGTCATATAAAATTTTCTGGAGATGTAAAAGAAGTTTACATGTGTGACGTAAATTTGTGGCAATGTAGTACACAAACAAATTCATGACTTCAGATAGTCTAAGTGAGTTGAAATCATGAAGGTCAAAGGAAGAGCCAAAACAACTGGGAGAGGATGGTGATTCATCTTAATGGAAGGACATTTTGTATACAAAGCTAAAAAAACAGACAAAAAAAACATTTCAAGACTATTGAGACAATTTTTAGGAAATGTACAAGTCATTCAAACCTGGTTGGCTGCGGTAAAAAATAATTAATCGAGTTCTTAGCAACCTAATCAGGACAAGTAAGAAAAACATCCATATAAAAGAAAACACTTTATAAGGGCAGATAGACGGGCTTCTGCAGCAGCTATAAAACATGCACTACAGAAAAAGCACTGTGGATGGACTCCAAAACCCAGACCATTTTGGACCACAAGGATTTGAAGAGGAGTACAGTGTTTTGGGAGAGAGCTCTATGGGCTGCAGAAACCAGCCTGGAACTTGTTGGAGTTATTAACCACAGGTATGCGTGCTTTGCAAACAGCCAAGCGCTTGACCTGAGCAGCCTGGCCAGTCACCAGATTTAAATGTGATTGAAAAAGTTTGCGTGATTTAAAGAGGGCAGGTAGAAAAACATCAAACATCACTGAGTCTGAGCTCAGAATCTGACTCTGAAGTGTTTGAAGCTTTTCAACACTTCTTTAAAAAGTTGTAAAGCTAAAAGATGCCT